TTAAAAAAAAGTTACTGCAGAAATCTGATATTTTAAGGAGAAGGCATTTGGACATTTTTCTTTTTTCTTTGTTTTTGTAAGGAATGGGACAACCACCAGATCCAGCCTTTGGTCGAGTGTCTAGTCCTCCCAATGCAATGATGTCGTCAAGAATGGGTCCCTCCCAGAATCCCATGATGCAACACCCCCAGGCTGCATCCATGTTTCAGTCCTCAGAAATGAAGGGCTGGCCTTCAGGAAATTTGGCCAGGAACAGGTAAAGAACAGTGACTTCTGAAGTTAGTCACATCTTAGTCCCCGAAGTCCAGGAACTACTGTATTTTTCAGTCAAGCCTTTTTGGATAGAGAGATTGAAAGGACTGGGTTCATATTAGAAGATGTGTTCTTTGGCTTGTCCATTTTGAGAGTCCTTCATACCATGCACGTATCTATTAGGGTATCGAGTACAGAAAGCTGTGAAAAATGGATCACAGGCTGTCAGGGAGTTTTCTCTCTGACATTCCCAGCTTAAGAATAGCAATGTTTGGCACAATTGTGATAGTTTCTGCGGGCATGCCCTTTGTCGCCAAAATGCCTTCCAGAGGTAACATTACAGTTTCTTCACAGCTCCTTTTCCCAGCAGCAGTTTGCCCACCAGGGGAATCCTGCAGTGTATAGTATGGTGCACGTGAACGGCAGCAGCGGCCACATGGGGCCGATGAACATGAACCCCATGCCCATGTCCGGCATGCCTATGGGTCCTGATCAGGTATGGGGTCTGTTGTTTACCATTTTCAAAAAGTTTGTCTTGTTCTGTGGTTAGAACCAAAGCCTCAGCTATAATCAAAAGGTCCTAGGTATATTTTAACTTGAATTTATAACTTAAAACTGCAGTAATTTAAAAAACCCATTGATTTGAAGGTACTGGGCCACGAGATGCTTTTGGTAATTTGGAATCTAAGGAACCTGAAAAGCCATGAATGTGGACATGGACATTTTTTTGTTATGCAAAGCATGTGTTTTACTCAGCTTTTTTCTGGTTGCTAACAGAAATACTGCTGACGTCTCTGCACCAGGACCTCTAAGGAAACCACTGTACAAATAACACTGCACTAGGATTATTGGGAAGATACCATGTTCCAGGCATCCATTTTTGAAGAAAGCCAGCTTTGAGCTCTGTCAAGGGCATTTTAACTGATGTCATTTGAGCAGGACTGGATTTTAAGCCGAACTGCAATATCTACCTATTTCCCCCCCGCCCTCCTATGTATCATGGTGTTCAAAACAGAAGTGTTTTTGGCATTCCACCTCCTAGGGATATAATTCTGGAAATGTGGCGTGTTACTGATCATAAAACTTTGTGTCACTTTTTTCTGCCTTGCTAGCCAAAGTCTTTTAAATCCATGTAGGTGGGCCAGAGAACATTGGAAGAATCTAGAGAGATTAGAACATCTGCTTTTGCTAGTTGCAGTATTGGACTAAGAGCATAGTCCCAGCCTTCAAGTGTTCTGTCACTCCCAAGTAGTTCTGTGTTGACCCTTTGTCCAGTGGAATTGGTGATTCTGAATTGTCCTTTCCTGATGGTGCTGAGTTGCTCTTTCCCTATTATTTGTTGTCCTAGGCTTTCTCCTAATGAAGGTTTTCATTTGCCGCTCATGTCCTGTAATACTTCACCTCCAGGAACTGTCATTGATGTCCAACGGCTTTGCAGAAGGGAAAATGAGATGACAGTATTTAATTGCAGCCGTAGCAAACTTTTCACATGCTAATGTGCAGCGGAGTGCACTTTATTTAAAAAGTAATAGATAAATGCAATGTTCTTGAGGTCTTGAGGGAAGAGTGAAACACATTCCTGGTTTTTGCCTACACTTACGTGTTGGACAAGAACTATGAATTTTTTTTTTTTTTTAAATAAGTACTGGTGTCACCCTTTGCCTATATGGTAGAGCAATAATGCTTTTTGAAAACTTCTGAAAACTCAAGGCCAGGTACTGCATTCTGAATCAGAATCTCGAAGTGTTTCTGTGAATAGATTTTTTTTGTGTGTGTGTAAATACGACCTTTAAGATATTGTATTATGTAAAATATGTATATACCTTTTTTGTAGGTCACAACAACTCATTTTTACAGAGTTTGTGAAGCAAAATATTCAACATTGTTGATTTCAGTAAGCTGTGTGGTAAGGCTACCAATGGAAGAGACATCCCTTGACTTTCGTGGCCTGGGGGAGGGATGGTGCTCCACAGCTTTTCCTTCCGCAGCCCCAGCCTTAGATGTCTCACTCTTTCAATCTCTTCATATAAATCCTTTTTAAAGAGATTTGTTAAGATGTAGGCATTTTAATTTTTTTAAGAATTCCTCTACCAGAACTAAGCACTTTGTTAATTTTGGGGGAACGAATAGATACGGGGAAATAAAAAAAGAAAAGGTATCAGGAATTCAAAAAAATCAAGCAATTTGATTGAAAAGAGAGTCTTTTGGATTTTAAGCAGTCTGTAAGTTAAATAGCAGCAATTCATGGGATTTGTTTGTGTTCAATTATGTTACCTTTTCATCCCCTTGAGGAGTGTTCTTGGATTTTGGTTGCTAAGACCTGAATCCCACATTGAGATCCTGAGTAGAATCTTGGTGTGGTTTCTGGTGTCTGCTCAGCTGTCCCTCATTCTACTAATGTGATACTTTCACTATATCCCTGTGAATTAGAATAATGTCACTGTTATTTCTTAAGGAACTCAGTACCCAGAACAGTCAGTTTTACTGTGATTGAGAGCCACCGTCTAATTGAGCACCTTTTAAACCCCTCCCTCTTCTGCCCCCGGCCACTTTCTGCTCTTGCCTCCCTTTGACACCTATTTTAGTTAGTTGGGAGTAAGGAAAACACCAAATTTAATTCTGTTTATCTGGGTTACTTCATTTGGATCAAATAGTTGAAAGAATTGGGTTTTTGAATGTCTATGAATTTCAAAGGTCTCTGCTAAAGCGTTGGTGTCATTTTCTAGCAATAACTGAGAGCCATTAATTTTTTTTTTTAATTTCACACATTTAGCCAGTCTTTCTAGATGTCTCTGAAGGTAAGATCATTTAATCTTTGATATGCTTACAAATAAGTGAATCCTGGTATTTCCAGACCCACCACTGGAGTGGATTTTCAAAACAGTGTAGACAATTACGAGTTTGCCTTCTTTCCCCCACCAAGTTCAAACTGTATCTAAGAGTGTAAATCCCAAAACTTCCATGGTAGTGGCCTGTGCTTTCCAGATGGTGTGTGCTCCTGTGTGGAGACAGAGGCACAGCCGAGTTAGTCTCATGTAATTCAGGTCGATTGTGTCTGAACCTTCTTTAAGTTATGTGTGTGGGGAGAAATAGAGTGGTGCTCTTACCTTTCTTGACTTTAAAAAATTCCTTAAACCTGGCTCCAGGCTCACTGGAAGGCAGCACTCCCTTTTTTATATAGTGGAAAAATGAAGTTTATTATAAGTTTTTATATTTTCTACTTGTTCATTTGATTGGTGCAAACTCAAGATTTTGATTTTCTTTTACTAGGTGCAGTCTTTGAGATAATTTGTTTTTACTTGTATTGCCCTTTATCTTTTTTAGATAATTCTTTGTACTCCTGCTGTCTACCTCTCCTCACACCCCCGCACCTCCCATTTTTTCAAACCTTGTTATCTGTTGGGTGAACAGAATAAATAATCTTTTCATCTGCTTTTAGAATGTGGGATATTTCCAGTACCTACTATTTTTTTTTTATTTTTGCTGAATCCAAAGATATATAAATAAAAAATATATATGTTTTATAAAGATCAGAATGATATAAAGGAGATACATGTTTCTTCCTTTAAAAAATAAATGGAAGTTACATTGTTAATGTTCATATTATGATGCCACTTTTCTAAACTGCATCTGGATTGAAAGGTGTAAATATCAACAACAGTGCTACTTAGTTTATCAGTATTTAATATCTAAGGTGAGTTGGGGGCTATCTGTATTAGGGGTAGGGTATTACAGAAGATAATTGGCTTGATGTCCTAGAAGTTCTTTGATCCAGAGGTAGAGGCAGCTGCAAGTGAACGGAATGGATTGCTAGTTACATGTATAACTGCCCAGTTCCCTTTTTATTTGCAGAAGCTGTGAGTTTTGTTCACAATTAGGAGGTTCATAGAAGCAAAACCTCAAGGATTGATGTAATCAGAGGAACAAGAGTTGTTTTCAACTCCAAGGCACACTTGTTGACACAGACGAGCAGGGTGTCTGTCTTCTCTCCCTCTAATATATGGAATTTCAAAGAAGATGGAAATGTCATTCTGAGAGCAATATTTAAATTCTCAGGAATTGACTTATACTCTTGAGAATGAATTCAATCAAGTTTACATTGTGTTACTTTAAAAACAAATTCTTTATTCTGCAAAGAATCGAAACCATATGAATGACTTATGGGGGATGGTAAGCTTCAACTGCTTTGCTGACCATTTTGGATGTCATTGTAAATAAAGGTTTCTATTTAAAATTGGAGCCTAAAGAGCATTTTTTTATGATATCCCTGTTGGATTAAGGGTAAAAGAGGTTAAGGAAGCCTGTTTCGAATAATGGTAACAGTCTGAGAGGTTAAAAGTACAGCTTAGGGTGCTGCTAGGGAGTGTTGGCCTAATGTGGGGCATTGAAAAAAATTGAGCACTTTGGGGTTATCATCTCTGTCATGTGTTCAATGAGAAACGGGTTGCACTGCTGACAGTTTGTACTTTTCCCATTCTGGAACTCTGACAACTGCTTGTATCAGGTTACACAAAGAAGGGTTGGCCAAGGTGGATTGCTTTGCAATTAATATTTTTAAAAAAAGTCCCAAAACTACTGGTATGAGACTTACCTGTGAAGTCCCTTGAAGTATGGTAGACTTTAGTCATTATCTACAACCATCTACTCCCCTTTTAAAAAAAGTGTTCTACACCCAAGGCATTTTCTTCCAAAAAGGTGTTGACTGGCAGTATCTTGAATACTTAAAAAAAATAGACACACCAAAAAACTCCCAAGAAATGGCCTTTTACAAAATGTCAAATGTTTCTTCATACCAACTGCTGGTCATTGGCTGTCATTTTGAACATTGTATGACAATACTTACACTACAAAAATTTTTTTTTACAAATACAGTTTCATCAAAACTTGGGACATCAACTTCTTAAAAAAAAACATCAGTTCTGGAACATAACAAAGAAATACTAGGAGAAATGGTATCTGGACAGGAACAGAAATGTCCACAACTGCGAGGGATTTTCTTTTACACTCGCCACAGAGCGTTTATTGACACCACCACTCCTGAAAATGGGGATTTCTTATTAGGTTCCCCTAAAAGTTCCCATGTTGGTTACATGTAAATAGTCTCATATATACAGTGAAGGCAGTTTCTTCAGAGGCAACCAGGGTTTATAGTGCTAAGTGTCATCTCTTTTGTGCTACTGACTCACTGTCAAACTCTGCAGTTTTCAGCCTCTCCACGTTGCCTCTCTCCTGCGTCTTAGTTCCTTCTTTGTGACAAACTCAAAGAATAAGAGGATTTAGAACAGGACTGTTTTTCCCCTATGATTTAAAAATTCCAATGACTTTCACCCTTGGGGGGGGGAAATTGCCAAGGAAATCTCTCACTCACTCTCTTCGTTTTCCTTTGTGAGCTTCTGGGGGAAGGTCAGTGGTGACTTTTTGATAAGAAAAAATGCATTTTGTGCAGCTGGTGAGGTATGATCCAAAGCAAAAGCAGGGGCAAAAATAGACTTCCTGAAGTTCTCTCTGCTCCTGCTGGTTATCCTCCAGAATCTGCCATGTTGGCTGAGAGTGAGTGCTTGCTTTCTGAAGCCTCCTGGCCAACAGCAGAGGCCTGCTGGAAATCACCCACATGCTTTTTCGTTGCCTGTGCAGTCAGGTGGCGCCTCTGTTTTTGGAGGTCCACCTCTGTTGTTTCTTAACCTTCCCAGCCTTCCCACAGTCGTCCCCTGAAGAGCAAACAAACTCATCTTAGCATTTAGTTACCATCGTCTTTACCATGACTTCCTAATCAGTCCCATAGCTGAGGAAGCTTTGCTTCAAGGATGTGGCTGCTGAGAATGAATATTTCTATGTATGTTACTAAGAACGTGATTGCTGCCACCTAATCATCTCAATTTTTAGTTGTTTACTTAAACATTCAATGCCTGGCAAGAATGACATTGAAGGATCTGGATAGAATAGTGGCTAAGGAGGTTGTGATATGTAAAGATTCTGTACCTTAATTCTAGAAGTACCAGAGAAAGCCTTAGCTGGCCTGTTACTCATGTCCTGTGTTTATATGCACATCAAGGAAGATATGAGTAGACCAGAGGTTGCAAACAGCAGCTCACCAAGGGGGATTGTCGTCCACATGGTTAACTTAATGTCAAATTAGATGACCGTGTTAAAGAGTTCTCACATATACCTGCACCTTTGGATTTGCTCGATGAATTAGAAAATCTAGCAAACCTCAGCCCATTCCTGCAGGGAACAAACTGGCCTGCTCCCTTAGAATAGAGGTGACCTTTCCAGGTTGCCAGTCTCTTAGTGCCTGCCAGCCTCCAATGGCACTGGAGTGAGCGTTTGTAGCCTGGGCTTTCTGGAAACCATGTAATGAGGCCATCCTACTGCTGATGTTGTGTACCAGGTAGCACTTTTGCAGCCATAGCCTTCAAGATGCCTGGCAATTTGTAATATTTAAATACTTCTCAACTCTAAGTAACAGCTCGAGTTTCCCAAACACAGACTATAGTGAGAACAGTAGTGTACTGGACAAGGCATTAATCTAAAACCCGAAATGGATTCACGTGTTTTCTTAGGGAAAGACTTACATTAGTACTCCTCTCCCCACCACCCTCACTAGGGGAACAAGTGAAGGGTGATAAGTAGAAATGGCATGCATATAGAATAGCATTGGCAAAATGAAGCAGTCAGAACCAGATCTCTTATTTGTAAGCCGGTTCCTCAACTCACGGTGATCTGGAAGAAGGTCTCCTCATTCCTGGCCACTTTCGACGCTGAACCATCCTAAGTTTTCAAGTGTCAAAAGGAGAATGAATGTTAACCATCACCAAGAAAGAAAAAGTTGTCCCCAAAGAACTGTACAAAGCAGGTCTCCTAGGTGACACCTATCTTTGCTGGGTGATCCTGCGCAGACCAGAGGAAGGGAAGTTTCTCAACACATGCAGCCTCACAGAGATGAGACCGAAGGATGGGCCAAGATATACAAACTTTGTTTAGGCTTTAATAATAAAATGAAATACCTGTGTTGCTCATAGCCTCTTCCATCTTTAAGTCCTAAATGAAGGAGAAAATGAAAACAGCAGCAGATAGTTTAGGCAAAACAACCCAAACAAACCAGAAAACCATCTTGGGCTTTTTTGTCACAGTCCCATGACGCTGACGGTGTTCCCTACCCAGAGTAGACTGAATCACGAGGGGACTCTGCCTTAAGTCTTCCTAGGATTGCCCACAATCTGGGGTCACCCTATCAGCTTCAGGACCCTGATGGCTTCATTCAACGCTGACCATAGTCATGGTGAGGGAGGTGGACACGGGGAATAAACGTCTATGCTCCAGGGGACAGAAAGCGCAAAGCCCTGACCAAGTGCAGGAGGGAGTTCCCTTTTGGGCTCTGGGAAGGTTCCTGAGGATGGGGCTGGATCAAGTGCATGGGCTCTGGAGTCAGCCCACCTTGTTCACTTTCCTCCTCCATGAAATGATACGACGACTCACCTCAAAGGCTTATCAGATAAATGCTCAACACAGAGCCTGGCACACAACAAACATTTGGCTCCATTTAATGGGGCCCTTGCCCAGTCATATTGGATGATACCATCCAGTTAGACTGTCCAGACAAGCAAGACTGCCCTTGCTAGGAGAACGCCAGCTCCGCCTGAATCAGGGAGGTCGGGGTCATCTTTAGTTAACACGGGTACAGGTGTAAGTCCTCAGTCAATGCTTGTTGAATGCATGAGTGAACATAAGGGAGAAAATGAAATGAGAGGGAATTCCGTGCGCTTCCTGGGCCAGTGGTGTGGGCCTTCCTCTTTCACGAAGCACAGCGTGTCAAAGGCCATCTGGCTGTTATGGACAGGGGTGTCCATGACTTGTCTGGATCTGTATCACCTCCCAAAGCCTGGGGATTTTGGGCTCATTTTTGGGGTAGACACTACCTCCAGAGTCCCTGCTTTCCACAGGCCCCATGTTGGGGTGCCTACTCACCCAGGTCCATGTCTCGAGTCCAGGGGTTACACTGCTTGTAACCCTTGCAGCTCCTCAGCCCCATGAGCTGTATGTGTAGCTGGTTGAGGACACCCCTGTCCAGCGTATTCACTGAGTTCATCAGCTGGTTGCAGAAACGGTAGTTTGTCAACAAGGTAAGTACAGGGACCCACCCCGACACCGCCCTTCTACCAACATGGGGACATATTTCAGGCAGGCTGCGGGTGGAAGGTGCTATGGGCTGGTGACCTGCTTATTCCCACCTCAGCTTCTCCAAGAGCCAGAGTTTGGAAGAGTTAGGTGACGTTTTTTGGCTTCTAGTCCCACCAGGATCTCTTCTTAATGAGAATGAAAACTCAGGAGAATAAAAACCATGTCTGTGTATTTAACGTTGGAATTCTGCAGCCACTGGTCAGGAAACTTCCCATGTTTGGAAAGAAAGCCTTCCAAGTCTTGGGTTTATCAGCAAACTTCATCGAAGCCCCTCAGCTCCTCTTGATTGGAAAGCAGCCATTTGGTGAATGGACGTGTAAGTGACCTGGGTTCTTGGCTAGTCTGTGAGCTACTGGCGACCAACTTACTCCCTTTGGTTAAAGTATGAGGAGAAAGACTGGAAGCCTATATAGTAATTAAAGCATTTGAGCTGCTGACATTTAAAAATCAGATTTCGTTTAAAAAGGTATTTCAGGCTTTTCTTGAAAGGTTAAAGGCTGGACAATCCCAAGGCCACAGTACAGGAAAGCTCTGGTGCTGCTGCTCAGTAGTGACGGCCCTGAGAGCCTCACACGCTCCGGCCAGCAGACGCCCCGCTGCTCCTTTTGCTTGAGACAGAGGCTCACTCTGTCACCCAGGCTGGAGTGCAATGGCACGATCTTGGCTCACCACAACTTCCGCCTCCTGGGTTCAAGTGATTCTCCTGCCTCAGCTTCCCAAGTAGCTGGGATTACAGGCATGCATGATCACACCCAGCTAATTTATTTTGTATTTTTAGTAGAGATGGGGTTTCTCCCTGTTGGTCAGGCTAGTCTCGAACTCCTGACCTGAGGTGATCCGCCTGTCTCCGCCTTGCTGGGATTACAGACATGAGCCACTGAGCCTGGTCCCTTTTGGTCTTTCCTGTGGCCCTGGGCCACCCCAGTTGCCTGTGTGTTTAGATGGCGTACTGTACAGAAGCACTTAGCAGAGTGCATGGTGCCGTGTGTGACTGTTACATTATCTGCGTGGTCTGTGCGGGCCCTGCAGTGGGTAATAGTTGGCCTGACCCTACAGCCTGACAGTTTCAGGAGTCGTCACAAGTTCCCGTCAAGCCTGGTTGAATGCTGACATGTTAAGTTAGAGGGAGGAAGCTACATATATTACACATGCAGCGTGATGGAGGCAAAAAAGGCTGATTGAACACGGATTCCCCCAATCTCAGTGGCTTCTCAACTGACTCCCACTGGCTCAGGGACTCAATGGGACTTGGACAATTTGTCATCACTTCCCTGAGGTTGGGGGGCCTACCTGGCAGCACGGGTGCACCCCTGCCCCGCTGCTTGTGTTGTCTGTACCTGGTAGGGGTCTGTGTTGAGATCGAAGTACTCCAGGAAGCCCGTGGCAAATTCACAGAAGAGGAAGTTGTGAGTCTCGTTGATGGTCCTCATGCACCAGTACGTGTTGTTGTTGGCGCTAGTGCAAGCGCAGAAAGGCCCCACTGCCAAGGAAGACAGAGCACGTCCTGAGTGCCAACAGTGACTCCTGTCAGGACGCCCCCCCAACCAGTTCCTCGAACGCCAAGAGGCTGCCCCGGGCACCATGGACCCCTGGTGTCAGGGACCCCCTTTCTGGGAGAGGTCTGGCAGTGGAAGCCCTCACAAGCTTGGGGCCAGGTGAGTCGCTAAGCGAAGTGGAGAAGTTTCTTGGCCCCCTGGGCCCTAGCCTGTCCATCCCTGCCTGGGGCTTGCTCACGGGTCCAGAAGGGCGCCGTCTGCCAGTGCTGGTTGTTGTGGGTGAAGCACGTGAGGCCTGGCATGCTGCACGTGTCGTTGTTCTGCAGGCGCTTGAGCAGCTTGCGGAGTTTCTTCTTGCGCTTCTGCTCCCGCAACAGCCACACCTTGTCCTTCTCCTGCAGACCCTTCCTATGGGCGCAGAGGGACACACACGCGTTGGGCCTCTGAGGGATCAGGGACCCCGCGTCTCTGCTCTTTCCGTCCACCTAGGGGCTGGGCTGAGGCTTCTCCAACAGAGACCCATGGGCCTATGCAGTTCAGGGTCCCAAGTCCAGTGCTGATCCAAGGCACAGCCGGGGCCAGAACCTGGGTCTTCCGTCGTCCTACTTTAACTTCCAAGAGGGCACAGAGGTGGGGACAGAACTGTGCGGCTACTGGAACTCCCGTTGACACCCCTTTCCCTTCCCGAGGCCTGCCCTGCTTGGAGGAGTTGTGGCCACTCCATTTTAGCCACAAGGGGGCATCAGAGGCCCGCTCAGTGTTGACTGGGAAGTAAGGCCTCTTCGGGGTCACCACGGACTTCCCAGGGAAGGGCCTGGACTTTCCTTTTCTTCTTTAAGCTTAAAGGGGAACTTCTCACGCAGGCCTCTGCTGCTCTTCCCCAGGACCTCAAGCTGCCCTTACCTGAAAGGATGCAGGCTGGAGCCTTTGTGCTTGAGGTGGTCTTTGTGCTGGGAGTCGTAGCTGTAAGAGACCCCCCAGCCCCAGGCTTCAGAAACGGCTAGAGGGTTCCTGGGACACCCGTGTGTAGCTGCTGCCCCGCCCCCGCCCTCCTCCTGGGGTGGTGGTGGGACGGCACTGTCCTATCCCGGGGGCAGCAGGTACCTGCCTGGCTGGCTTCTTTGTCCAAGCATGCACCAGGACCCTGCCTAAAGACCCCAGGCCACACTTTTAGAAGGTCAGGCTCATGGTAATTTAGCCACGGCTAGAAGCTGGGCCTGGCTCTAGGTGGCGTCAGCCTCAGCAGCCTTTTCCTTTCCTTTTTGGAGGGTTAATTTCACATGTCAAAGCCTCCGCATCTTGAGGCCGCGTCCCCCCCGCCCGCCTGCGCACGCTTGGCTGGGGTCAGCACAGGGGAGCCTATGTCTGCCAGACTTTCTGGAACGGTCAGGCTTTTCCAGCTGTGCTGTCCACTACGGGAGCCACTGGCCACAGGTGGCTGCTTCAGTTTGAATTAAGCAAAATAAAAAATTCGGCTCCTTGGTGACACTAGCCACAATGTCAAGGGTGCAGCAGCCACACGTGGTGCAGGGCAGATACAGGCCATTTCCAGCAGCACAGAGTGTCCTACTGGACAGACTGTTCTAGAGTTCAGTCCTTTGGGCCAGGGGACCCCTGAGCCGGGAACGTGGACCTTAGACCACATGGGCGATCTCTGAAAGGGCCTTGGGCAGAGAACTTTCCCGGCCCGGAGCCGGCTCCGCACAGCAAGTGTGGGCCTCTAGCTAGCGGGACTGGAACCTGGGCGCCAGCCTGGCTGACAATAAGGATGTGGATTACGGGTTTTTTTAATGCCATGAAAGAGAAGATAAAAATTAAAAAATGATGAAAGGAGTCAAGCATGAGAGGAGATGAGCTGCCCTAGGAGAGTGGGGTCTTAGGCAGGTCCCCTTGCTACTGCCTCACCTGATTTTGTGACAGCCACATTCTTCTGGCCGCTTTTTCCTCAGGTGACCTCGGATTTCTCTCAGGGTCTTAATTTTGTTCTGCAGGGTTTCAATCTGAGGGAGGGGCAGGAGAGGAAGCCTGGAAACCGCCCGGGCTGGGCGAGAAAGGCCGGGCCTGGCGGCTGCCCCCGCACCTGTGCTCAGCAGCGGCGGCCGCGCTCCCCGGCGCCACGGCCAGCACGGGCACACGTGGGTGGGGAGGAGGCACTGGTTCCGCCTGCTGAAGGAAGCCCGCCCTCCCCTCCAGCCAGCGCGTGCCAGGGAAGCGTGTCATTTTCCTGGGCTGGCCTGCCCAGGAACTCACTGAGCCCACTGCACGCTCCAGTATCTCCCCTGGGCTTGGTGAAACGCCTTACTGTAGTGTAGACTTCTTTGTTTTTGTCTGAGATGGAGCCTCACTCTGTCGCCCAGGCTGGAGAGCAGTAGTGCAATCTCCACTCACTGCAACCTCCACCTCCCGGGTTCAAGTGACTCTCCTGCCTTAGCCTCCCCAGTAGCTGGGACTACAGGCATGTACCACCACACTTGGCTAATTTTTTGTATTTTTAGTAGAGACGGGGTTTCTCTGTGTTAGCCAGGATGGTCTCAATCTCCTGACCTTGTGATCCGCCCGCCTCAGCCTCCCAAAGTGCTGGGATTACAGGCGTGAGCCCCTGTGCAAGGCCAGTGTAGACTTCTTATAAGTCAAAAGGGGACAGTGTGGCCAAGCCGTCCTCCCTCAGCCTGTGCAGGAAGCTGTCTGTCTGATGCTGGGACTGACGCCTGTGGCTGGGTTGAGGAGTCTGTGAGGACCTTACTTCACCTCTCCAGCCTCTTCCCTGGGTCTGGCCTCACTGCCCGCCCACTGTGAGTCGGGGTCCCGTCAGGCCTGTGGTGGCTGAGAGGAGGCTCCTCTCACCCGCTCTCCACTCACCTCATGGTCGATGTGCAGCTTGTGGTCTTTCCAGGCCTGCAGGGACTTGTACAGGTCCAAGTCACACCGGACTGTGTAGTTCTCCAGGATGTGGCAGCTGCTTGAGAGAAGGGATCATATGTGGCTCAGTGGAGGTGGAGGAGGAGGTGAAGGTGGAGGAGGAGG